GTAGCACTTGCAGCCCCGTGAGCTGGCTATCTGTGCACATCTAAAATAGAAAACTCTTTTCAAGCTGAGTGTAAACAGATCTCAAGGAGACTGGGACTCACCTCACCATGGCTGTGCAGAGACTAGAACCATCTAGAGATCCCTTGTCTCTTTCCTGCCCCCCGATTGCTTTGTGGAGACCCCCTTGGTGGCTTCTCCAGCTAAAGCCCTTCGCAGGAGAACTTAGGCAGATGTATCTCTGAAAGTGTATTGATTTGTAGAGACAGCTGTGGGCATGGAGGTTGGAGATGAGCTCTACTAACTCACATAATAGCAAAAATGGAAAGCATTTTGCTAAGCTTTTTTAGAACAGCTGCAAAATTTCTAAATTACATAATGCACTCTTTAAAACTTAAAATTCAGATATGATTACACACAATGAAGTGCATCCATCTTAAATGTACAGTTCAATGTGTTTTTGATGAATACACACACTACCATGCTTTTGAGGCTTATCTGTGTTTTTGTATGTATTAATAGTTTGTTCCTTTTTATTGGTAAGCAGTAGTGTGTTGAATGGCTATATCACGATTTGTTTGTCCTTTTCCCTTTTGAGGTACATTTCGGTTGTTTCCAGTTTTTTACTATTATAAATAAAGCAACTATCAACATTCCCATACAGGTCTCTTTGTGGATATATTTTCATTTCTTTTGGTTAAATAGCTAGGGGTAGAATTGCTGGATCATGAGTTAGGCATATGTTTACTTAACCTTATAGGAAGCTGCCAGACAATTTACAGAATGCACTCTTAATGAACCTGATTATCTATGGAGTGAATTCTTTGACATTGTTTGTTTCATGATTTGTTTTTGTCTTGAATTGCATTGATAGGATATGGGTACATATTCCTTGAAATATATCCTTAAGGGTAAGACCTTGATTAACTATACAATTATAGTTGTTCTTTAATGCTTCTGATTTGTTTATACAAACAGCTTGGAATCTAGAAGAATCATATTGGAAAGCTGGGATGATCTCTTTCATGAATTTCTCCCGTATTTTTCTTTCTTATCTACTTTAATATTTTATACATGCAAAAATATGTGTAACATATGTGTTAGTTATAAGGCATAATTATAAAATGGAAATCTGTAAATCTACCACCCCATCTGAGGATGAACATATTTCCAAGAACATTGCATGTGCCTTTGGGGTTCTCCCCACTTCCTCCCTGAAGTAACCAAGATCTGGATTTTGTGCTCTTTATGAATCCTCTTGCTAAGACAAAAACAAAAGCAAAACAAAACAAAACAAAAATATTTTATCATGTATTTGATGGTCTTGCTTTAAAATTTGCCTCATAGTTTTTGTTTTCCCTGCTTTTAAGAGCTTTATCAAAATGGTATTATGTGTATAGTTTTTCGGAACTTACATTTCTTTACTTAACATATTGTTTCAAAGATCTGCTCATGTTGTATGTGGCTGTAGTTTATTCACTCACTGTTGAATGACATTCCTTTCTGGGAATATATCACAATGTATTGTATTACTTGTCAACTGTCATTTGTGCTGTTTCTCATATTTTTCACTTGGTATATATTACATTTGGCGGGGGGGGGATCTGGTACATTTAGCACAGTAATTTGAGATATAACTCTTTTCAAGTAAACAGTTTTTATAAAGTGAAAATGAGCAACCAGTTTCAGTTCCAAAGTAAGGGAAATTTATAAGATACCTGGGGAAAATTGCATAAAACAAAATGTGTGATGCATTGGCAGTGCAGTTGTAAAGAAAATACTCCAATTAATGTTTTACTACCTGATTTTATTTCTAAGGTTGAAAAAATAAGCTTGACTTTGGTATGTAGAATGTAATAATTGAAGAAAATGCAAATCACCTTATTTGTCTGTGTAATCCAGGTAGAGCTGAAAGGCAACCTAAATTTTGATTTTTTTTCTAAATATTAAGCTATATGATAAAAAACACTTAACTTCACTGTCGAAAATAATTTAACCTTATTGACGTCCTAGCACTTTAGGAAAAAAAAACATTTAAAAAAATCACAAATGAAAGCTCACTTTGGTTAAAAAAAAAAACCCTACAATTTAAATAACTGTATGCATTTCTCTTTATTCCATATACCCCCTTATGTTCTCAGGGACAACTGAATGAACTTACTAATACTAAAATATATATTGTGTAGTATTTAAAGATCTTATATTAGCATCATTCTTTTAAAAAATCAGCTCTAAACTTTTGTCTTAATTTACAAGTATGTATTACAAAATTCTGAATATTAAATATAATGAAAATATAATATTGATATTCTTTTACATCTAATTGCAGAATGGATCTGTAGGCATTGAGACCAACCTCATATAGGGAATTGTCTGAAGAAATATTTAAAAATTAGTAGACCAAATTTTAATTATTCATATGGTAGTGCCTACTTTTAAAATGATACATGCTAAATTTAAATTTCTTTTAAAAGATTCAAATATATTTCTTTCTTTGCTAATGTCCAGGAATATCTAAAACTGGAACACTTTATTTAAAAATTCAGCTGAATTTCAGTTAAACAAAATAATCCCATATGAATGACTTTTTTAAGTAAAAAAAGATTTATTTCCCTTCTATCCAACTGACTCACTGAATTGAGCTAAAAATTTCCAAGGGGAAAAATGATCTAGGGAATAAATATAGGGGGAAAAGGGCTAGGTTTCCATTATAATAGCTTTTGACTTGTTTTCAGCTCTTAATTTAAAAAATTATTTACGAACGATGGGATGCATAATGTAACGCGGAAACCTTTTACAATTAGAGTAAAAAAAAGAAAACTACTTTCCTTTGGAACAGATCCCCTCTTACCAGACAGCCTGATTGTTTATGAGACTAACACTTCTACTCAATCTCGACATTCACAACTCTTTGTTAGCCATCTTCTTTTTACTTATTATTGACAGCAATTAGCCTGAGTCATGAAACCGGACCACATTAAAGGCGACATGTGGTCCAATCACTATTTTTAAAAGTCCACGTATTTCAAACTCCTCTCTCTAGCCATTGCTGGGCTGTTTCCCGCTTTGAGGACCTGGTCTCCGCAGCGTTATTCATTAGATGTCAGTCCTAGGGCAAGTCTCTCTTTGGGGAAACCTCTCCTTGGGCACATTCAAGAAAGCCACAGAGGAGACTGGACTGGTAGTTTCTAGTCACTTACAGAGCGAAGGAGGCAAGAGAGACGTGCCCGGGAGGACCCGAGGCAGGTGCGGGTGGGTTTCCGCAGTGACCACTCATTGTGCTTGTGTGAGGCGTGTTCGCCTGTCGCGAACCCAACCGGGAGACCCGTCTCGGCCCCGGTCCCCCCACCCCTTCCTCGGGGAACCCCTCGGACACACCCCCTAGCCTCGGGGCCCCCGGAGCCCCGCACCGTGCACGCGCCCTGGCCGCTCCCCTCAGCCGTCCACGTGGTGGAGCCAGGAGAAGCGCGAATCCGCGAGGATCTCTCTGGACCCGCCGCGGGTCTCGGAGGCTGGGCCAGCGCTACCCAACCCGGCCGGCCCCCAGTCCGGGCCCCCATATTTCCTCTCCCGGAGGGAGGGAGGCGACACTCCGCGGGCCAGCCCTCCCTGGCTCCTGCCGCGCCCCCTGGCGGCCGCCGCGGGGACGCGCGCTGGGCACGCGGGGCAGCCTGTCTGGGCTCCCCTTCCCCGGCTCCGGGCCCCAGCGGGCCGTCTCCCCTTGCTCCCGGGGCCGAGCCACACGAGCCGCGCCCTTCGCCCTAGCTGCCCGCGAGCCCTGGAACTGTGGGCTCCCCGATGGCGACGCCGTGGCTGCCCCAACCTTGCGCGATTGTGCCCACTTAGTAGCCTGGGGGTCTCCTTTCTCCCAGGTATGCCCCTCCCGCCACGTTCGAGCTTTCCAGCAGGCTGCGAAAAAATGCCGCATGCACGCACTTATTTATTTCTTTTGCAACAGCTGCAAGAAACAATGAAGCTTTTCAAGAACTGGGGAAACGCGTTTTCCAGCCTTGCTGTTGTTGTTTTCAATGAACCTCTTGGGCCCCGCACTCCCCGCCCGCCCCCACCCCCCACCCCAGCCCCTCCTCCCCTCCCCTCCCCTGCTAGCTCCTCCGCTGTGCCCGGACAGGCGCCGGAGGCATTGTTTTTGGAGTCTTGCGGGAGGGGAGGGCGCGTGCAGGGTGGCCGGCGCAGTGCGGGTGGGGGCGAGAGCGTGTGGGCGCGCGCGCGTGTGCCCGCGCGGGCAGGGGGCGGGGGCGGTGCTTCGCAGCTTCGCATCCCACGCCCGGGCTCCGCTCCGCACTGCCCTGAGATCCCAGGCTCCGGCTCTTGGCGCGCGCCGGCCTGGGCCGGGCCCTCCGCGCGCCGCGGCTGCGGCTGTGGCCGCTCCAGTGTGCGCGCGGGCGGGTTGCGCGCGGGCAAGTGTGCGCGGCCCCGAGAGCGCGCGCGCGCGAGCCCCCAGTGTGTGGCAGCGGCGGCGGCAGCGGCGCGGCGAGGCTGAGGCTCTTGTTTACCAGCATTAACTCTGCTGAGCGGAAAAAAAAAAAAAAAAAGGAAAAACACCCGAGGAGGAGCGAGCGCACCAGGCGAACTCGAGAGGCGAGCGAGAGAGAGGGACGCCGCCAGCGAGCCTGCCCCCGGCGCGCCCGTGCCTGGAGGTTGCAGCCCTCGGCCCCGCTCCCCGGGCCCTCCACGCCCCTCCCGCGCGAGGGGAGCTCCACGGCGCGCCGCGCGCCTCGGCTTTGACCTTCAGCGAGCCGGGGCCCCCGCGCGGAGCCGGCGGCGGCGGCGGCGGCGGCGGGCGGGGGCCGGCGCGGGCCGGGCGGCGGCGGCGCGGAGCCCGGGCGGCGCGGCGGGAGTGCTGAGCGCGGCGCGGTCGGCCCGCCGCTTTGTGTGTGTCCTGGATTTGGGAAGGAGCTCGCGGCGGCGGCGGCGGCGGAGCTGAGGGAGGAGGCGGCGGCGAGCGGAGCCCGGAGGAGGAGGAGGAGGGGGAGCCGCTCATTCATTTTTACTCCGTATTTCTGCCCCCGGTCGGCCTCGCCCGCGACCCGGACTTCGGGGCAATCTTGCGAACTGCGTCGCGCCCTCCCGCCGCGGAGGCTCGGGCGTCGGACAGCCTCCTCCTCTGTCTGGGGTCGGTTTTGTCCTTCCTCGCCGAGACGGATTTGGGCTTTGCCCCCTTTCTTTGCAGTTTTTCCTCCCTCCTGTCTCTTTGGGTTTGAAAATGGAGGCCGACGACGCCGACAGCCCGCCCCGGCGCGCATCGGGTTCCCGACTCCGCCGAGTCCTCGGCCGCGGCGGCCGGCGCTGAGGGGCCGCCCAGCGCCGCCGCCCGCCCCGTCCGCGCAGCCCCGCGGACCCCCGGCCGGCGCCGCCTTTGGAATATTGTTGCCTTCGCCCTTGTTTTTGGAGGGGGGGGCGAAGACTGAGTTTGAGACTTTTTCTTTTCCTTCCCACCCCCCCCCTTTTTTTTGAGAAAGGGGAATTTCGTCCCAAAAGGAATGAAGTCTGGCTCCGGAGGAGGGTCCCCGACCTCGCTGTGGGGGCTCCTGTTTTTCTCCGCCGCGCTCTCGCTCTGGCCGACGAGTGGAGAAAGTGAGTATGTGCCCGCCGCCCGCGGCCACTGCGGGAACTTTTCCTCTGAGGGGCTGCGCCCTGTTTGCGAAACACGAGTTGCCACCGTCGCAGCTGTCGGGCTCCCGGTCTCGGGAGCCGCGGGGCGGGGCGCCGAGGGGCTCGGCCGGAAGGCCGGAGGGGCCCCGGGGCCCAGGCTCGTTAGTTTGGAGCCCCGCGGGCCCCAGCTCAGTGCATCCCCACGTGGGAAGGGCCTCGGTGGCTTTCTCTTTCGCTGTCCCTAGAGCCCTGCCCCGGGGGTCGGCTGTCTCCGCAGCGCTCACTCCCGGGCGGCCCGCGGGCTCCAGCAGGGAAGTTCGCGCCCGGCTTCCCGCACCACGCGCCCCTCCCGGTGCGCGGGGCCGCGCACCGCGCAGGCGGCGGTGACAGCTCGCGCGGCCACCTCGCGGCTGGGGCAAACTCGGTGACCGGTGGCGGGAGCGGGCAGCCTGCTGGCCTTTGGGGGTGCAAGGTGCCCTGGAGGAGGTGCCTGGCGGGGAGGCTTCGCAGCCCCAGGATGGGTTTCCAAACATTCCAGCGCGGCCTTCTGTGGCCCAACGCGCTTTGTCCCTTGGGCTCTTTGGGTTCCTGGCCTTCCATGTCGCTTTCGCCGGACCCGCGGTGGGTCGCCAGTCCCCGGCTTCCCGGGGCTGCTCAGTGCTGCTTGGGGGTGCGGGGAGCGTTCCCGCCTAGGCCCCCCACCCCCCTCCATGAAGCCCCTGGAAAAGTGAGAGGTCGGGGGCCCTGCGTCAGTTGGGCTGTTCCGGGGAGCGCGTCCGGACCCCCAGTTCAGAGGGTGCTGGGAGCTTCTCCCAGTTTCTACCGGCGGGTGGACGCTCTCCTCCTCCTGGCAGGGCTAGGGGTGGTAGGGCAGCATCCGAGTGCGGGAGTGGGTGTGTGGTCGGAGCCGACTTGCATTTCCATACACGTGCTCGCAACGCGGGGCTGTAGCTGCAGCCACACGGCCGCTCCGGGACACCGAGACGCCGGGCCCTGGCGAGAGGTGTCGTGCGTCGTCGTTTAAGGGGCGCCAAGATCTGCGGCGGCGGGGGTGCGGAGGAGGGTGTTTTGTTTTGCTAGCGCGCAACCTTGGGCTGGGTTTCGTGGCCAGAGTTTTGTTGCACTCCCTCCCCCGCTGCCCCGCACTTCCTTTGTACATAGTTAATAAGCAATATCGCTCCACACGCTGTCGCCTGCAATCTGATAGCTTTTGTTTTGGTAGTGTCGGGTAGGGGTAGGGAAGTGCGGGGAGGGAGGGAGTGAGAACTTAGGGCCCCGCGGTGTGTGGAGGGAGGAAAGTAGGGAGTCCTGTTCTTCTCAAAACATTAAAGTGAGGCTTACTGATACATTCGCGATGGCAGGGTAACTTGAACAGGATTAAAGTTTAAATGCAGCCACAGAACTGGGGCTAGGAACGACGAGGGCGTGTTGGTGAGTAATGCTTGCCGAGGGTATGCAGGTGGTGCCAATTAACTTTGAAAAATCAGGACGGAGCCTCGAAGAGTGAGGGGGGAATCGGGAGGCAGCGGGGGCTGTCTGTCCCCATTATAGGGGCAGTTCGGAAAGGCTGTTCCTGTAAACAAACCCTTCTTAAACGTTTTGTAAGAAATGAGTCCATGATGGAGTAAGAGCAGATTTTTATAGAATTAGCGTGTTTACTTCATGGAGTAAGACTCTTATTGAGTCCGGACCTTCTACAAGTCTCAACTCTCCTGTTCTTTGTTTTCTAAACTTTCCTCTGGCTGGATTGGGCGAAGGGCTTTCGGCTCCCTTCTAAGGCTCGCAGATGGTGTTTGGGGGGACAGAGGAGGGTTTCTAGCCTTTAAAAGCTAAATATAGCTTAGGAGACACAGGAGAGTTAATCCATTTTACTACAGCATGTGGTTGAACTGTGTCGTGTTTCTAGTTTTATTGTTTAATGTTAGTAAGTTCTGAAGTTCACAACAGCAGGAATGGCCTTGCTTCTCCCATGCAGACTCCGGCATTTTAAAATAGGATATCAAAAAAAAAAAAAATAGGATATCATGTTTGGAGTTCTTCGTGAAAAATATCTTTGTGAAAGGTGGTTTTTTTCCCTGAGAAAACAGGAGGGGTAGGGGCATTTTAACATACTTTTATAGTCCTAGATGCCAAAGCTTTGCTCAAGGGTCCCTTGAAAATGGTTGGTTTCTGAAAACTTGATGGATGGTCAGAAAGCACCCCAATCCTCATTATGGTTTGTTGAAGTTCAAACTCACTACCTGCCCCTCCCTACCTACAGCTTGGAAGTTTTCAGGAGTAAATGATATGCTCAGGGTCAGCGTGTGTTCAGTCCTTAGTCCAAAAGGTGCCAGAATGCTTACTTCTGATAGAAGTAAACCACTGAGTCCTATCAGAGACCAACATTCTTTTGACTGTCTAGTATAATATAATAAAGACTGGGGTGCTGTTGATTAATATTGTGTTGGCCTGTTTAGGGATTAGTGTTTTCTCTCAGAGTGTGATAGCAGTAGGGATGATTTTTTAAATCTTTAACTTAGAAAATCAAGAAGTTTCGAAGCAGATGAAGTCATACAGAATTTTGTATCAATGTACTGTGAGCAGTGCATCTGAAGAAGGGAGGTTTGGGAGTTAGGAGTGATAGCCAAATAATATGATGCTTTTTTATGTAAAAAAAAGTCAATGTGCACTTTAAATGTATTGTGGCCATCTCATTAAAAAGATGTGTCATCTTTCTGCCCCAGGCACAGTCATATCTTATTGTCAGGGAAATGTAGGTATGTGAAAAGTTGGTGTTAAAAGAAGTTGCTGTTTTATTACCGGGAGAAGAATCCAGAATAAGAAGTTTGGAAAGAACCTAAATAGCAAATTATAGTTTAGCCTCTCTAGAGGGAAATAGCAAGTAAACGGTACTTTTGCGGAGGGGTGGGGCGTGGGTTGGAAGTTTAAAAGGGTATATGTTTGATTTGTCAGAAGGATTAGAAAAATCCAACGTTAAGAAATATGCTAAGGTTGACTGGAAGAACATTAAAAACATGCTAAGTGAAAGAAGTCAGTCACAAAAGACCACGTATTGTATGATTCCATTTATATGAAGTCCAGAATAAGCAAATCCATAGAGACAGAAAGTAGATTAGTGGTTGCATAGGGCTGGGGGAGGAGGGGGTGGGGAGTGGCTGCTAATGGATGCAGGGTTTCTTTTTGGGGTGATGAAAATATTCTAAAATTAGTTTGTGGCGATGGTTGCACAACCTTCTGAAAATACTAAAAACCATTGAATTGTACACTTTAAATGAGTGATTTTTATGCTATGTGAATTATATCCCAAATGTAATATGGGATTTTTTTTTAAAGAAATATGCTAAGGTTGAAAAGAATGCGTTGTGTTACTCTGAACATAGAATCTAGATTAAAATTATTAAGTAAATTTGTCCAGCAGGTTGATGTCTTTTTTTAATTTATGGAGTTTTTCAGATCCATGAACTACAAACTGATCGCTGAAGCTCTTAACAGCAGAGATTCAGTGCCATAGGAGAAAAAGACAGACAGGAAAAAAGAATCTTGGTTACACATAGCTCACATTAAGGATTAAGGGGTTGGGTTAAAAAAACGCAAGTGCTAGTAGTGAAAGTCCGATTTGTGACAGTAAAATCCTTAACTGAATCTGAAACGATGTTGATCTTTCCAAGATGAGAGTTTAGGAGCCGAGTCTGGATGGCATTTTCTATTCCAGTTTTCTTACATATGTTTTCGAACAAGAAAGAATGTAATGTTTAAGATGATAAGGAATTTCCACTGTCTTTTTTTGATATCCCATATTAACCAACCTGGTAGTAAAAACTGAGGAAGAACTGTTCATTTTAATGCAGTGGGCTTTCTTTTTCTTCTTTGTTGCTTGTTTTATTTCTTAAATAGCTCCAGAATCTGAGCAGGAAAGAGAATCTTTGTAGGATACAGCAGCTTTTTCAGGTATACAGTGATTATTTTATTTTTTAATTAAAATTTCTTATTGAACAAAAGATTAAAAAACATAGCCAAAGGCATTTTTGTTTTCAAACTGTTCTGTCTTTATCCAGATTTACCTTGGCCTTTTAATAGGAAAAGACCGGAAATTCAATTGTTGTTTATATTTGTTTTTGGTCTTCATCTGAGGCTCAGTTTACTAATAAAAATGTTTCCTGTTCTTCTTATTGTTGCAAGATCAGGGCAGTAATGAATATCAACTGTATCGTTTTCACTTGTTGCCTTAGAGTTTTGCCAAGGAGAGCCCTCCAGGGACAGTAGCTTCCTTTTAAATCTGGTTTCATTTGTTTTGTAAGAATGAGCTGTAAGAAGCAACTGAATTCAGCCAGCACTTATTGAGCACCTGCTGTATGGAAGCTGGATCCTTTGTTAAGTGATGTCCCAGCCTGCACAGAAAGAGAACTTCACTTTTGTCCTTGGGGCATTTTTGTATAATCGTGCATGAAACAAAGTTTCTGGAAAATTCAGATCTTTTTCAGACTCAGCACAGGGTACACAGTTCTCAAATAACATTTTAAAGGCCCTTTAAAAACATTTCTGTAGACTTAAGACAGGAAGCAAATCACTGTTGTTGATATTCTGAAGGCCTGTGCAGCACCGCTTGCCTTATTAATACCTTCCCTCCTATTGCATTGTTGCTGGCAGGCTGTGGCATCCATGAGACAGTCACCCATCTCGATCAGCTGCACTGCCTTCTTTATAACATTGGTTATGACAATTGTGATTAAAAATGGACAGTGTCGTAGTTACCATTTGCCAAAACTTTAGTAGGAGTTACAGGTGTTGTACATGAATGTTTCACAGCACGTTTTGAGTTGTAAGGAAGATGGGACTTACTTGGTTTACATTTTTTGGATTTACACATTGCTTAGTTAGCTTTCTGGAAATCTTTAGAGAACTTTCATAATTGTAAGGCCTTATTTAATTTAAAATACTTGACTGCTTTTAAAAGTGTGAGGGGCTAAGAAAGAGATTGAGGA